ATTTGTATATATGTATATATATATATATATATATATATATATATATAACAATCCATCTTTAGTCAGCACTTTGGTTAAAAGGAAAATCACATCAAAACTGATTAACCTATTATCTGGTAGAAATCTGAGACTAAGTTTCTCAATGAAGTAGTTGAATCCTGAATATATTATATATGTTAATAAAAGTTTTACAAAATATTTAAAAGTGCACACCTAAATGTTTGGTAATGTGATACATAGGAGAACCAATGGCATTCATGATCAGACATAATGGAAAGATATTTATGGATCTTTGGTGACCCATACAAACCTGAAAAGAGAATTTAATTCTAGTGGCCAATCAAAAAGGAAAAAGACTTTCCTGGATTCTTTTGTCTATACTCCCATCCACCCACAGGCTTGGCTTGGCTTCTAATACCTGCTATTACTGCTGCTATGTGCAATTCAATGCAGTAACAGTAGTAGACTACTAGTTCAGTTTTCCTTTTATCTTCCTTCAGGCTTCTGTTAGAGCTCATATTTGGGCTACAAAAATTCAGATAATGCTACATATGGTAGCTAGGTGATCTTAAAAATCCTAACTTTTTGCTGCCAGATAGAAATTGATGAGATTTTTGCATGCCTTGGATGGTAATCCTAATACCGTACATGAGGTAGAGGGAGAGGGCAGGATACTTCCATATATTGATGTTGCTGGCTTTATAATTGTGTGTCCCTTTTATAGCAAAGAGTCAAAAAAAAAAGACAAGCTTATTTTGTTAGCTGTTAATTGATTGGGTTAACTATGCTTTTATGATTTTATTGTATAACAGCTTGTAATTTCTGGTTGCTTTTGAAATTAGAACGTTTAAATTACCTTGTTATTGCCTTGTTGAAAGATATTCCTCCTTTTTTTTCACTAAATTCACTGTAGTAAAAAGGTTTGTTTTGTTTACTTTAGGGCAATGAATAATCCAGCCATGTTAATCTTCAAATTGATTTATATCTTTCTTTGTTGTGGGAACCTATCCAACTGTACTTTTTTCTCCTTATGCCTTCAAGTTAACGTTGATTTCTGAAAACTGCTTGGATGAATGTCTGCAGTTTTCATGGCAAGGTTTCAGAAACGCTTTATTTTATTTATATATTTCTTTCTTTCTTTATTAAGAAAACTCAAGGTGGCAAACATTATCTAATATTTCTTCCTCCCCCTATTTTTTCCCACAACAGATGAGGTGAGTTGGGCTGGGAAAGAGTGACTGTTTCAAGGTCAACCAGCTGGCTTTTTAGCCTGATGCCTTAACCACTACATTAACAACTACATCAAGCTCTTTGTGATTTATTAGTGTTATGATATATAGGCTGCAAAATACAAGCACTAAATAGCACACATTAGAGTTTTCTGTATTTTGTTCCTGTCCTATAGTTGTCACCCAAATTGTTGCAGTTGAGATGAATCAAGGTTAAGATCATATTCATATCCTCTATTCTTATATCTGAACCTTGCAAGAATAGGGATTTTATATATAACAAGTAGGAATTGAAACACATGGCCAAAGATAATCAAATCAAATGTTTATTGTCAATGCACAACAAAGTGTACAATGAAATTGAAAAGCTGGTAATTCTCGGGTTTAGTGTGCACCTATTTTTGACACTTTCAAAGAAGAAAAAATCGTGATGCAACCTGACACAAGGTAGATCCTGAGTTAATAGATTACATGAACGATACTACGGAAATAATAATAATTAAAAAAAAAAAACTTCTGAACTTTATACGGCATACAATGAGTGCACGGATCTAGCTAGGCCGCCAGGTGGCGGTACAACTGTTCAGAGGTCGCAACAGCCTGGGCGTAGCTTCTGTATGATGGGGGAGTCAACCCCGCCCAATTCCCTCCTTCAAGATTGACGTGCCTCCAGTAGCAAGCGGCCGCTCAGGTGTGGGCGTGGCTGCTGTAGAAACCTTCCCTCTCGCTTTTGCTGAGGCTGCCGGTGGTTGCAGTGACCGGTTCGATTTTACATCGTCCGTCTTTCCTGGTCGTCGAGAAGGGTGGCTGCCCATCCCGCTGGCTTTCTGGCAGCGCCATGGCAGAGCTGGAGAGCCTGGAGTTCGGCAAAGCAGATTTCGTGCTTCTCGACACCGTGTCTATGCCGGAGTTCATGGCCAATCTCCGGTTGAGGTACAGAGTGAATGGCGGGGGCGAGAAGGAGGGGGGAGAGTTGCCCCTTCCTGCCCCCCATTCCAGGGAGGAAAAGAGAAGTGGCAGGAGGAGGGGGCGGCAGTGGCAGGTGTTTCTCCCCTTGCTTTCGTCTCTCGTGGAAAGTAAATCGGTTTCATTTCCCATCGCCAGTTAAATGAACTCTACTAAAACGAATGTCCCCTAGCCAGGTGTGACTGGATTTGGAGAAACGCAGAGCAGGGAGAAAAGCTATTTATTATTTGGGTGTGAGATCATCATGAAATCCTACAGCTGCTAGGTAGACCAGGACATTAAGAACCCCCAAAAAAGCAAACTACTTCTATATTACTGCCAAAAAAAATATACCTGGAGGTGGCTGGGAAATCATTGGTCATAAAGTTCAATCTAACTTTTTTTAAAGGTCTTAACTTAAACATTTGGACCCATGTGATCATTGTTTGTCATAAGAGTAATCTAGCTGAATCAAAAGCAGTGGGATTGCTTCTCGGGACTGTTAAATCCCAGCTACTACAACTAATGATCAGGAATCCTGGAAATGGTTGTAATCTCTGAAGCAGCCTCCCTCAATTCGTTGCTTTCCAGAACTAGTTAAAGTTGGAGGGAAGGAGGGAGGGAGAGGGGGTGGTATGGGTTTGGGAAGAAAGTTAGCATCATCCCTCATTTAAAAGTGTTGCAAGGGTTGAGAGAGAGTTGTTTACCTATGACTTCATTGGGAGCAGAGTTGAAAAATTTGAATTAAAGACTTCCTGATTCATACCTTAAGTTTTTATTCAGTGTGTTAAATCCACTTGTGGAGGTATTTATATCTTTACTAGATTGGGTTTGAATGTGGAAGCCCTGCTTTTAAATAGAGGATATTGACTAATATGGCTACTGTATATTACTCTATTAATTTTTGTAATAACATCACTCACAAAAAAATTTGTTGGCTCACTTTTATAATGTAATCTTCAAGCCTTCCAGAAGTCTATTCATAGAATGTAACTTTATCCAGACTCCCTGGAATATCTGCTTTTTATAGGGTTGAATTTTAGGGTTGAATCTTGAGTAGCACAACACCTTACCTCAGCTTGATATCTGCCTCAATAAAATCATTCAAACAATGGGTAAAATATCTACAGTGATTTTACTTCTTAGGGGTAGAAATAAGTTTTTATAGTATACACAGAGTCCATTAAGGGCAAGAGGGACATTGATTTTTTTTTAATCCCATCATATATTAGAATCATAAAATTGTCTAAAATTTTCATCTCCAACAGTTTACATAATCCAGATGGATATCACACAGTATAGGTAGATTGCAGAAAAGATCTCAAAGACACCCCCTCCCGTTAGCATGCAACTGTAAATTGGAAAATTAAAATAAAGCCTATTTTTGTTATGAAATGTTTCTATAGAGCACATTTCTACATTTCTATATCTGACATTCTCGATGATTTCTGAAGTTTGGAAACTGAATGTATAACCCAGTTTATAAACTGAGTGGGTGAAGAATCCCTGGCCTCCAAATGTTACAAAATGATAAACCAAAGAATGTGACTGTGCTAGCTGGGATTGTTGGGAACAACAGTTTAGCAATGTATGGGCAGCGTTGCTTACTCCTGGTGAAAATCTGTTTGGTCTTCTGTTGATTTCAGTACAATTTTCAAAACAGTAACTTTGTTTTGGATGACATGTGAATTCACTTTGATAAATAGGACTGCACACATTATAATCTTATTCCTCTTATGCCCTTTCTCATTACTGTTATGGTGCTTTTTTAATTATTCGTCTGAATTTAAGTATGTCACCTGGATATGGAATAGTCATTATGTGGCATGATTTAATGTTCATTCTGGAGGAACTCCATATATATAATGGCACAAATTATTCCATTAATCAACACAGAATGAATGTTTGTAACATAAATATGCTTGGGTTATATAGGCCTTTAGCCTAATTTATATGAAGTAACCTACAGTTCAGATTTAATACATCTGTCTGCACCATTGTGTCGGTTTGTGTGGGATACGTGTGTTTCAGCTTGCTTTCAATAATCTCTCAACAATCTGTTTCCCATAGACAGTACAAAACCAATGTCTTGTCTTTCAGAACCCTAGAAAACCATTTGAAATTCCAAGAGAAATTCTGTCTCTGAAGTCAAGCAAGTACTGTCTCTCTCATGGACCAGTTTGAAGGGGAGGACAAGCCATCCCTACCTACCCACCAGACTCAGCTATTGTGCTGCAAAGCTTTTATAGCTCCTCTTTGCTAGGCAGCTGAGCTGGCTGAGGAGAGGTCTTGAAGGGGCAGGGCACCATCAGCCCAGGTGCAAGTTACTTTTAGGCAACCTGCCCTCTCACACTAGAATTGACCAGCACCTGAATAGAAAGCATTTTAATAATGATTGCAATTGCCAGTCCCAAATTCAGAAATCAAATCCACAGGAAGGCTAAAAAAAGCTTTTATTGAAATTAGCTACAATAATGGAATCCTGAAAGTCTGATTATGTTGTACCTCTTCCTTATTGTTCAGTAAATATGAAGGTGTGCATTTGAACTAGTTCTGTTATCTTGTTGTTCTGGACTTTAAAAGCATGTCAGCTCTTTTTATCTAGACAACAGCTTCTGCATACAGATAGTCCTTGACTTACAACTCACAATTCATTAAGCAATTGTTGTAAGTTATAAGAACACTAAGAAAAGAGACTTAACAACCAGTCTTTGCACTTCAGACATTCCCATGGTTCATTATCACAATCTGGGCATTTGACAACCTGCTTGTAGTTACAATCGCAGCAGCATCCCAGGGTCATGTAATTGCCATTTATAATCTTCCCAGCCTTCTGACAAGCGAAGTCAGTGGGGGAAGCCAGATTCATTTCACAACTGCATGATTCACTTAACAACTGCAGTGGTTTGCTTAAGCATCATGGCCAAAAAGATTGTAAAATCAGGCATGATTCATTTAACAATCACTTTTTTTAGCAATGGAAATTCAATTGTGGTCATAAATCAAGAATTACCTGTATCTCCATCAAAATTTTTAAATGCTTAAAATGTAAACCTTTATTACCTGTTGTGCTTACACTACCTGACTTCCCCATGGCAAACAGTTGTGCTGGAGTTATTTCTTGACACAGTAGGTTAGATGAGAATAAAGACAAGATTTCTAGCAGCTTTAGTGCAACGGTATTTTCTTCTTTTGCCTTAACAAAGAAAATACTGTTTTCCATAAGAAGGCCAGATCATGAAGGTCTGTTAGTGATATTAGCTATGATAAATAGGTAAAGTCTTCCAGTTCAGAAACAAGACTGTTAGGTGCTAAAGGCCAAATGAAAGACCTATTTATTTCATATTTTATTTGAAAATTTTCTTGATTAAAAATTAAAACAGGTAACTGAACTCCCTTTCAGTTTACCCACATGGAAAGGACATGGTAATGTTGCAATCCAACATCAGGAATGACATGTCGCTGATTCTGTCTTAAAGCCATATTTTATTCTTGTGCATAATAGTTGAATTCATGTACATCTGTAAATGCCACTGTATTGGCTACTTGTTCTTCCTACTTGTTAGATTTCTAGGTAGTTTTAAATGAAAAGGCTGTTTTTATGGTGAGATTTGACAAGAGCTTATGTTAAAGAAAAGCGTAGGAAATTGCATTTTTAATCATATTTACTTAGCTAGCCTCTTGGTTGGAAGTAAAGTCTATTGGCAAAGTAAGTTCCTTGCTATTTCCTTGAAGGGTGTATTTCACTGAACGCTGCTAGGTCAACATTCAATGTGTGACTCAGAGATGGAAAGGAAAAGGCAACCTTTAAATAGAGCTCTTAACCAGGACAGTTAAGAATTGTATATCATCTTGGATTCTAGAGAGTTCAACAAAATAAATGAATAAAAGTGGATTAACACAAAAAGGTATCAGTAGAATAAATTGATGCATGACTATAAACACTAGGAAAAGTGAATTTCTGCAAGAATTGTCCAAAGTAGGTTTTCCTGTATTGATTTTATTGTGTATCATTCTTTTTACTGCCTCTAAGGTGAAACGGCACCTACTTTCATTGCCTCACTCAATTTGACTTGGGCCTGGGTTCCTGGGATTTTTGTCAAGGGATATCTGGAGGTTTGTTTGTTTATAGTTTTTGCTATTTTATCAATGATTAAAGTAACAGCTATCACTTTCCCCAACTGCTAGTACAATAACTGTTGTCCTTCTACCCCAACTCACACATATGAACCTATGACCTAATACGATCATTCAGGGAATTTAAGAAAATAGAAAATGGGATTCAGCAACTATTTTAGAGGCAAATTGTGTTTGTGTTATCCCAAACAGTGTCATGGCCATTTAACAATGGGAGGAAAAAAAGTATTGGGACTCAGGCAGCATACACATTTGATTTTTAAATGTAACTACTTGCTGCCACTATGAAACTAAAATCTCTCATTTTTTCCTCTTACACCTGATTATTTAGCTAGAACTCAGTAGTAACCTTCCATCTACAGTGCTGGTAGGACAGAACATAGCAAACTAACATCTACTCCATTTCCCCACCATGATTGTGGCTATTATGTTTCAGAACTTTAAAATTGCTTTTATGCACAATGCAAATATACAACCACATCAGCACTTTGATCAGTGTTTGATTAAATTTGCTTTTACCTTTTAAAAAACAAAAATGAAGATCTGCCTAAAGCTTGTAGTTACAGTCAAGTTTTCACAGTTTTTTTTTTTAATACTGATTGTTGTCTATTTGCTTTTTAAAATGTGGAAAACATACTACTTTTGATGACCAGGTAAAATACTGGAAGAAAAATTATTTGTGATGCTATTGCTTTTTTAACTGGAACCCCTGGAACATTAGCAGCTAAGTCTCCTGAAAACTGTTTTGTGCCTATGAGGAGAGAGATTTCTGAGGCAGCAAGGAGGGAATTCATTGTACTATTGCCAGTAAAAAGCCAAATTCACCACAAGAATGTCCCTACAACCCCCGT